TCACCAGACCTTGAAAAAAGTAAATGCTGAAGTTTCGGTGTAATATAATATCGAAGTAAACGGAAATTAGTATAAAAAACGTCCTCAACTAAAAATTTTGAAAACCACTTCCCCTCCGAAACAGGAATAAACTGGAATTTACGACGATTTTTAAAAGATCATCAACTTTAAAATCATTACCCACCGCAAAATTCTGGATCCACCGGCAAATATTATAACTTTAGTTCTTGGTTTTAAAAAGTTATCAATAATTGTGACGTATTAGAATAAGGTCTTCAACAGAAATGAAACCCAGCTGAGAAAAAAAATCAATTTACTTTTTTTAACCAAGGCGTCGTGTCCTACGCCGTGACTCCTTGATTGAAAGTTTTTCGACACCGACTCCAACCCCGGGTTCAGACTTTTTCAACTTTTGTTTTACAATTTTATTTAAAAAGTTACGACCAGCAGAGTTATTTTCAGTCCAAAATTCTTTAAATTCATATAGGAATTTCGTTCATTTGACTCCAATACACTGACGGTAATGCAGACTTAAGTGAAGTTTTTAAAGACTTTGTAACGGAGATTCTTGAAATTACTTTGATGTATAAGTGACAACAATTACACGTCTTATTTATAAAAACCATCTATTTGATTGATAAAATGTGTTGAATGTTAGTATTTGAAGAAATACTTTGACTAGAAAACAAATGATAAAATGTTTCTAACATTAGGATGACAAAAATTTAAAAACTTTAAATAATACCATCTGTTACAAAAAAATTAAGAGTCAAAAGTATTAACAATTATATTTATATGACAAAAATGTTAATTTTTTATTTGATTATAGACACTGGATATATCAAGTTAAAATTATTTTGATTACAAAATGATGTAATATCAACACGGCATATGTACGCTGTTAATGCAAATAATGACCAAGGAAGTAAAATTGGCCAGCACAGAGATTGAAATAACGAACCATGCAATCTATTTCGAAAGCAAGTACAAAGATTTCAGTAGTAGGCAGTCAGTGAAGATATTTAAATAAAAACTTCACAACCTTCGGGACGTAATGTTCAAAAATTCACATTCATGATGATGCTCTCTTCTAATCAATAAAATCATTCAAAACTACTTTCAGAAAACATTCATTCAAATCACATTACGGATCTCCGACAATGAACATTCAATTATAATCAGAGAGGACAAAAACAAACAATAAACATTCACTCCATTCAAATCCTGGGCCCAACAAAAAACATTCCTTTCATTCAAATCATAGGCAGGCCCCAACAGATGGCGGTGCGATCGGCTGATGTACTAACAAATGATAACTGGGTCGGATGCCACTTGCATTGGATCACTTTGTCTTTGTGCTCGGCTACAACCACACTTGGCAATTTTCCTGTCAATTCACCTAATGAAATATGTAAAAGTCACAAGCGTTGAACTAGCACAACAATGAACAACAAAGAGACACGAGAATTTCCATCTAAATTTTACTCAACTAGAAGAACAATGAATGATTTGACAGTAATCAGCTAAGATCATTCAGCCATGGTGATCCAGTGATTCGAAAACCTAAATATTAGCATTATGAGTAAATCAGATTATCGGTTTCAGCAGCTTAATTTTAAAAAGCTTTAGACGTGATATCGATACTAATTCGTTTTATGTGCATGTGACGCAATGCATAGAGTGCTGAAGAAATAACATATTATTATTATTATCATCGTTCATCAATGCAAGTAGTAGGAACGTTGATAAATAAGCTGCAGTAGAATATAAAAGCGTGTGAAGACACTGAATGAACAACCTGGGATATCAGTCATAAATTAGTGTGGTGATGAAAGATATATAGATTAATGACTAAATTAACAGTCGAAATCACTAAACCTACATAACAATATCTTTAAAAATATTTAATTTAGGCAAAAGGACAGTAATTAGATTCGAAGTCATAAAGTAACATGGTGCAACAACTGGTAATGTAAAATGGTGAGATAGTGCGGTGGCTGTGTTTGCAATGTAGTGAACGGGCTTGAATTGAAAGAAATCTCCGACCACCATGCACACTGTGCAACGCTGCCGATGATTTCTTCTGAGAATTACTGAAAAGTTTACCGAAAATCAATCAATCAATTATTGATTTCCGAACATGCCAAACGTCCCTGTAAAAAGTTTACCGAAAATAAAAAAATAATATAGAAACTAAAATTTTTAGGGAGATTAATGATATATTTAAAAATAATCTTAAAACATTCAAACCGTGCAAATCAGAGAGAACAATTTTTTGATCATACGAAGCTGTCAGGAGGTAATTTGCATTGTTGGAAAACCTGATTAATTGAGGATGTAATAATAAATATTATTTGATGATGTAAGATACAGGTGAAAATATAAATCACTACATACATTGAAAGTCAATAAATTACCGAGCGATGTAAATATAAAACTTTAGAAAAAAAGCTTGAAAATGGATAACAGTTGAGAAAGAAACGAAGTATGAGGCAACCTGACAGATCTGATTTCTGAATGATGAGGCCTGAAGACTTGCACGACTTTGTTGCCTCTGACATCCCACAGCATACAACTTGCGTCTTCATGGCCAGACGCCATTAATCGACCCGATGGATCCACACAGACTGATGCGAATGCACTTCCACCTGTGTTCATTATAATCATGGTATTGACGCCAACATTCTTCCACATTCATTTCATAAGTTCGTCGTCATCGCCATCTCTGCCAAAAACAGTGATTATCCTGCCTTTAACATGATTATTGCCACCCCTCTCCAATCATTTTTGATTTGAAAAATAAAACAAAATCTGATTATCCTAACTTCAATCTTATTTTAATTTATTAAAAAAATCATTTGAAAGCAAACTTCACACCAATAAATCAATTCATGTTAAGGAACACTTAACAAATTGTTTTATTAATTCTCCCATATCCAATTAGCCGGCAATTTCTTTTCCGATTTTTAGCAAGACCAACCAAATGATCACGGCACATTTGAGACCTCAAGACAATTTTATTATTTTTAACTTTGAAAAACATCTTTTGGCCCTAGCAGCTGTGACTGATAATGTTAGAAGAATCCGGAGAGCAATCGAAAGATTAAGAAATACTCCAACAAATTTTGATGAATAAATATACTGTAAAACATTTTATGGGTCGCTTTTGATGGATCAACAAAGTTCCCTGTAGCTTTTATTTTGTTCCAGTTCTTATCCGTTGATTCACCATCAGACGTTAGCGCTAATAGTAGAGACAAAGCAGATTGACTATCCAAATCATTTGATCAAAGTGTCAACCGAGACAAATTCAACGGGCATTTTGCTTCCATGTCTGCTAATCCGTCTCAAGTAAATCATTCAAATTAATCGTTCATAACAATAATTTAAAAAAAGTCATACTACCTCTAGAACATCCATCATTAACATGCGCAAATCGGCTCAAAATTTTAGGTGTCGCATTCACATCAACGTAAACTAAACTAAACGATCTAAACCTTATCTAAGCTATCTAAACCCAGCCGAACTTATTAAAATAAAATCTGGTCAAAACTAATTGAAAACTAACCTAAGCTTAATCTGAGCTGAACTAACTTAACTTAACCTAATTTAATCTCAAATAACCTAACAAAATGAATAAAATGAATGAACAAATGAATAAAATAATGAATAAAATGAATAAATAAACAAATTTATAAATACAAATAATAATAATAATAATAAATTTACAAATAAATAAACAAATTTATAAATTTACAAATTTATAAATTTACAATTTAACAAATGAATAAAATGAACAAATTTAGCACACGACCAAGCTACCTACCTTCAGCATTTATAACACAAATGGGTACGGATGTTCTCAAGTCCCACAACCGAGCTGTCTTGTCTTGCGAGCCACTCACGAACGTACAATTTCCCCATGAATACAGTGAATATATGTGCCCTGCATTTGAATAAAAAATTAAAAAAACATAATTGAAAAAATAGCTACGCCTAACTGACCAGTGTGTCCAGAGTAAACCCTAAAGTTTTGAGAGGTGTTGCAATCAGTGATGTGAATATGACAGTTTCCAGCCCCTCCACTGATCAGAAGACTGCCGCTCGACATATTCTGTTCTTTTATAAACGTCACATCTCTCACTGTACCATCGTGGATATTCAGTTCTGTGTCAGCACCTGGTCATCAAATGATATGATCGAATGTTCTAGCTATCATCACTTCAACACCATCAATTTGCAGATCAATAAGTTGCAAGAATGCTCAAGATTACAATTGCAAGTCAACATTAAATTCGATTCAGTAATTCTTGATTTTTGATAGAAACCCCTTTAGAGGCTTTTAATAACCAAATAAAGGATAATAATCTTTTTTTTTATTTTTATAGTGTAACATGTTCTTTCTTATCCTTCCCAACTGATACTTTTAAAAGTTTTTATCGGAGACAAAAATCGCAAATCTTTATAAACATATAAATTTCGATTTTAAAATCTTCACAAATTTCAAGTAAAATCTTTAAGTTTCTCTTTGTAAAAAAGTTAACACTCAGACACTTATAATTTCGGAGATTCTGCCTATGTAGCACACTGGCAAATCAACCAAAAAATTAAAAATGCTCACCTTACCATGTCCTGATCACCATTGGTTAATTTGGAGCTAACTTATATCATCTCCACATTTCTTAACCTTTCATAAACTATATTATTTAGTCATCTTTTAAACTCAGTCATCTTAATCACAATGACAACAAAGTCAAACTAAATAAGCCAGATAAAAACTTGTAAAGATGAAAATTTCAACATAATTTCAACAATTAAATTAACTAAGCAATCAATTATTGTCAATTACAAACCTACAATACAGAGTT